GATCTAACATTTAAAAGATAGTATCTTTTTATTTTTTAATTTGCTATAGGGTGCATGCACTTGCCAGGAGCAGATGGGGAGACAGATCCCACCCAAGGGGGGATGACTACATCAAAATCCCTTCTCCTCCACTCCTTCTCGGGATTTGGGGCACATATGCATATGGGCCTGGTTTGTTTTTCAAGCCACTGGGTCTGGGACTCAAACTGCATAGTCAGTCATGTGGGATCCAGTTGCCTTAACCACCACACCACCCTGCTAGCCCAAAAGATAGTATCTTTAATAAATATTTTTGCAGAGGGAAGATATCTATGATACACTGTATAAATAAATAGTATGCTCTTTTTTCCTGATGATATTACTGGGTCATCAAAAAGTCGTAATACATTTTTGGATAGAAAAGTATGTCACAATTTTTCCGATGACGCACTATAAACATGCTTGCAGAGATAACTTGAAAGTCCCTACTAAAATGTTAGCAGTAGTCATCCCTGAGTGACAAGATTTCAATTACTTTTTTTTTTTTTAATTTTGTTACAGGGTGTGTGCACTCTCCAGGGAAAGCGTGTGCACAACAGAGGGAAAAGTGAGAAGTCACTCAAGAGAGATAGCTACTCTTCAATCCCTCCTCCTCCATTTCCCCTTGGGATTTTGGGCATGCATGTACACACACCAGCATGAGCTTCAAGTCGCCAGGTCTGGGGCATGAACTACCCAGCTGGCAATATGGGATCCAGCTGCCTTAAGCTCCACACCACCTGCTGGCCCATATCATTCTTTTTTAAATAGTAAAAATACATTAGTTTAGTATCAGGAAAAACTAATAAAACTATTTTGACTTTGAAAAAATAATAGTAACCAGGGCCAGCAGATGGCGTAGCTGTTTGTCACTGGACTCCCACAAGGCCGACTGCAGTTTGAGTCCTGGACCCCATGGCTTAAATGTCATGCTGGGGGCATATGAATTCATGCCCAAGATACCAGGAGGAGGGGGGATAGTGGCGTGGCCATCCTTCCTCCTCTGGGGGTGGTGGTGGTTTCTCACTTTCCCTCTCACTATCTGTCTCTCTCCAGCAAGAGCACATGCCCTAAAGCAAAAAAAAAAAAAACCTTTAAAAAGAAACAGAAAAAATAATAACCAACAGTAAGAAGCACTGAAGATAAGAAATTTATCTGAAGATGGTGAAAAGCCACTGTTAATGAGTGAAGGTTTCTGACAAGGCCTTTGTCAAGCCAGTTTTATTAAGAATGCTGACAGCTGGGACCAGCAGTTAGCGTAATGGCTATGTCGCTGGACTCCCATGTAGTCAACTGCGGTTCGCATCCCGGACCCGGCGGCTTAAACTCACACCGGGCGCGTGTGCATGCATGCCCAAGATCCCGAGAGGAGAATGGAGAAGAAGGGATTGCGGCGTGGCCATCCCCTATGGGGGGTGATTTCTCGCTTTCTATCTCTCTGTCTCTCTCTGTCTATCTGGCGAGCGCGCGCACCCTATAGTGAACACCCTCTCAAAAAAAAAAAAAAGAATGCTGACAGTGCCAGGCAGTGGAATGGCTGTTAAGGTGGCTGGATCCCACAGGGCTGACTGTGTGGCTTGAGTCCCAGACAGAGCAGCTCGAAAAACATGTCAGGTGTGTGTATGTGCATGCCCAAGATCCTGAGAAGAGGATGGAGGAGAAAGGATAGCAGTGCGGCCATCCCTGAGGCGCTTTCTCACTTTCCCTCTCTCCTTCTCCTCTCTCTGGTAAGCACACATGCTCTACAGCAAATTTCAAAAAGAAAACAGAGGGAGTGCTGGTTATCTGAGAAAACAGAGGGAGTGCTGGTTATCTGATCACTCTTCCTTGGTCAAGGAGTGGTAGGCTCTGGAGCTTGAGGCAGATGCTCTGACATGCTGAGGGAGGAGTGCCTGGCAGGCCCCAGATGTCCACAGGCTTACAACCAAGAAGCAATGAAAAGGATAAATGCCAACTGCAGAGCAGGTCCTGGGAGACAGACGAGAAGCTGGCCCAGCCAGGGCCAGGGCCCAGCTATTACGTGGCCTGATTGGTGCTCAGAAAAGGACCTCCTCTTCTAGTTGATGCAGGAAGAGCAGGGCAGGAAGATGGCAAAAGGGGAGAGGGTTAAGGTGTCAGGTACTCTTAATGATGCCTTCTAGCATCCCAGGACAACCCTGCAGGTAGAAATTAGCAATCTCTTTACAGAAGATAAAGGCCTTCACAGAGGTGCATTATAAGACTTCTAGATCATTATCTTCCATGTATACTTCTACAGAATTATCTGGGGAGCTTTTTGAAAATACAGGGCACAGCATTAATGCTGATGCCCTGAAGCTGGAAGCTACATGGTGACCACAGTTCAGATCCCCCGTCGGCCTGGAAAACATCCTGGCCTGGATGTGTACACAGGTACCCAGCATCCTGGTGAGCTTGAAGGGAAAGAAGACTGCAGCATGACAAGATCATACTTTGTTTTTTGTTACCAGGTGGCACATTAAGCACTATCTACTGGGCATACCAAATCCTTTCTCCTCCATTTCTCCATCCTGTCAGGATTTGGGGTACACATGTACCTGTACCCAGTGTGTTTTTCAAATATCCAGGGCTGGGATTCGAACCTTGGTAGGCCATGTGGGATTTGGCTCCCTTAACTACTGTGTACACAGGACTAGCCTAACAAGACTCTACTGACAGTGCATTCCTCTCTCTCATGCATGTGCACATGCACACTTCCTATGATTAAAAATATACAAGGACAGCAAGTGGCCTGGTGATTAAGGCATTGGATCCCACATGTACAACTATGCAGTTAGAGTCCCAGACCCAGTGGCTTCAAAGACACACCAGGCCCGTGTGCATGCATGCCCAAAATCCTAAGAAAATGGAGAAAGGATTATGGAGTGACCACTCCCCCCACCTCCCTGGGCATGGGACTTCTCACTTTCCCTCTCTCTCTGCCTCTGTTCTGTTGCTCTGGTGAGAGCACACACCCTATAGCAAAAAAACAGATATTAAAAAAATAATTATACAGCCATATTAGTAGTTAAGGCAGCACCATGTAGTTTGTGTCCTAGCCCTGCAGGCTTGAAAAACAAGCCAGGCACACATGCATGTGTGCCCAAAATCCCAACAGGATGGAGAAACAGAGAAGGGAATGTAGCATAACTAGGCACCACTGAGGGTGCATGTCCCCTTCTCCCTGTCTTTCACCCTCTGGAAAACACACACACACATACACACTCAGAAAAAGACACATTCCTGGGTGGACCTACTGAATCAAAGAACGCAGACACAGGGCCTAGGAAACTGCTTAAAACCCTCTTCCTCCACACTGTCGTAGCTGGTTCACAACTAGTTTTATAACTTATAATCTGAAAGAAGGGTGGCAGCGAGTCAATTTTTGACCTCTTCCAAAAGTCCCCTACAGATTTTGTCTTCCAGTTCTTCCCCCTTCACTCCCTATCCAGACCACATTCCTGTTCAAGCTGCCTAAAATAAAAGGTTTTTATGGTGGGTGAGGAAGCTTTGGGGCCTGTCAACCCCTTTGAATTATACAAAACATTACTAATCCTATCTCCTAAATCTGGTAAATTCACCTTCCTATCTGGGTACCAGTGAGGTTCAGGCTATCATTGCTTCCTGACTGGATTTCTCCAGCAGCCTTTCTGGCCTTCCTGCCTCCAGCCTTACTCCCTACAATCTGTTATCTACCTGGCCACCACAATCATCTTTTATCCACACAGTTCTGGTGATCGCCTCACTGTCTGAAAAATACCTTTCAAGAGAGTTACTATCTGAGAATCAGGTGAAAAACTTTTAAAAATGCAGATTTCTGAACCTCTCTTCAGATTTGCTGATACAATACATCTGGGAGTAGAACCCCAGATATCTGTATTTTTATAGGCTCCCTAAGTGATTATGGTACTGCAATAGATATTATTCCACAAATATTTATCCCCTCCCCTCAGACCTTTGTGAACACACACACACACACACACACACACACACACACACTTCCTTGTACCAAAGATATGTGACAGGAGCAGGAGCTTGAAATGCACTTGATGGGCTATGTTCCTGGAGTTTGCTGTTGCCATGAGCAGATGCTCTGGGAAACTTGTTGCCCCCAGAAGACTGAGGGATATACTTGAGCTTGGATTGAGACTTGAGCTCAATCCAAGATGTGGTGCCAAACCCACTGAGCCCTGATCTTGAACAGCTAGCTATACAACAGCTGGCCCAAATAAAACAAAACCAAAACCAAAATGCTTTGATATAATAAATCACTGAGTTTGGGGGTACTTTGTTATTCAGCATTATTGGCCATTGATGACTGATACAGATGCACAGCCAATGTGAGAACCTCTGGACACAGTAAAGTTTAAACTCTTCTGTCTAGTAGATAAGACCTATGATCTGGCCACTCTGCCTGCTCCATCCATTCCCTAGTTTCAGCCTCAATGACCAAACTGAACAATGTCGTTTTGTGTTGCCATACTTGCAATACAAGCCATTCTGTCTTGCCCCCTTGTCTTTCATTATTTTACTACAGTAATTCCTTTAAGACTTGTTCAAATGATACTACTCCACACACTGACTTCTCAGCAACCAGAAAACCAGACACTAGTGCATTAGTGTACAGTCTCTGAAATCAGTTTTCCTGTGTGTGGATCCCATCTACCACTTACTAGCAGTGAGACTCTGGACAAGTTACTTAACTTCTCTGAACATCTGTTTCCTCATGGTTTTCTAGTAATGAGGATAAATGAAGTATTGAGCATAGAGCCTGGCTCACTGTAAAAGATCAGTAGCATCTTATTCTTCTCTGTGATTCCCTCCCAGGGTCCAGCACAGGGCTAGAAACAGAACAGAGACTCAGGCAATGTTGACATATGAGTAGAAGAATCACAAGTATTCTATTTTAACTGGCCTCACTTCAGCCATGAACAAATGATTCCTTGGGTAAAGTACATAAACACTCCATCTACTGGCAACAGTACCTGTTTCTCGATGAGCCTAATGGTATCCTCCGAGGCCTTATCCTTTGATTTTTTCAGCTTATTCATTGCGTTGGTGCGAACCTTTCGTAAGGAGTCTTTGGCCTTGTTTGTGTTCTGTTTGGCCAGTTTCACCAGCATTTCCCTGTGTTGTGTGGTTACTCTGTTAATAAAACAAAAAAACAAAAACAAAAACAAAATTAATCTGTACATTACCGCTATTCAAGAATTTAAAACCACTCGATCCGCCAGCTCAGTGGTTTGTAACTTTACTCTCTGTGAGTGGATGATCTTCAGTTGCTGCTGACACATGCCATGGGCATGCTGGGGGACAAGT